CGTGCTGATGCAGGCCGGGTGGGACAGGATCTGGGTTGCGTGCCCCCTCCTGGGGAAGCTCTTGTGCCTGTTCCTGCCTGGCAGGACAAGTCACAATCCCCGTGTGTCTTTTCCAGAGGGAAATTAAGAGACACCATTCTGGACTGGGAAGATTCCCTGCCCGACCGCGACCTCACGCTGGCGGACGAAGCCTGCAGGTACCGTGCTGGGGCTCTTCGCGCTGTGGTGGCTGCTGACGCCGGCGGCTCACGGTGCCCCGGGAGGCTGCCCGGGCTCCCGCCCGCTGCCACACCACAGCCACCCTCAGGCCAGACCTGCCTGGCATTATGCGTCATGTTTTGTGCCTCGCAGCCCCGAGGCTGTCCCCGAGCCCTCTCCCCAGAAAGTGGCTGAGAGAAACCTCTAAATTCTGGCTACGGCTTTGCTTCCTGGCTGAAAGCTTGGAGAGTCCACACTGGAGCAGGGTAGGAGAAGCAGCCCACAAGCAGCCACAGCTTTCTCTCTGCCCGGGATGTTTTGTCTCCTCCCTGCAGGAAAGCTGATCTCTCTGTCACTCTGGGGACCTCTCTGCAGATCAAACCCAGCGGCAACCTCCCGCTGATCACGAAGAAGAGAGGAGGGAAGCTGGTCATAGTCAACCTGCAAGCGACCAAGCACGTGAGTGGGAGCGTCTGCGCTGCTCCGCACTGCTCCGTTCCCTCGTTTCCCTTGTTTCCGCCACGGCTCAGGTCAGTCCCCGCGCATCGCCCCCTCCCAGGCAGCCAGATAGAGGAGCGGCCTCGCTTAGCGAGCGAATGGGCTGGGCTTCCCCTCTGGGGGGGTTTAAACCCGCAACTCCTGATAAACACCTGGAGATGGAAGGGGGATCTTAGGAGCGGAATGAGACCTTGGCCCAAAGCCTGGTGTACCCTCCGGTGATCACGGTGCGAGCGAGTAACTGCACACACGTAGCCCAGCCACAGGCTGAGGAGTTTGGGTCACGTTCAGCCCTGGGTTTGGGTCCTGGACCAAACCTTCCAGTGCCTGGGGGGGCTA